AGTTCCAGATCAAATATCGATGACGCAGTTTCCCGTGCTGACAGAATAACCATCCTTTTTTAAAATGCTTACATGCGAAAAAAATTTCAGTTACACATCTTGGCGTGGGTGTTCTATTAGGAAATAGGTACATAGAATAATTTATGCTAATTTTAAACAATTTTGAAAATAAAAACGAAATGTACAACTTCGTTATTGCTCCACTTCGTTCCCATAAATAATGAAAAAAAAAATCGCTTTTTTCGTTACTTAATATAGAAGCAAACATTATCCAAAGTTCGGTTTCTTATTGCCAAACATTGCAGAACTTAGATAATGGATAGATCTGAGTGTTAAGCTAACACATACAGTGTATGTTGTTTAAAATCAAATGTAAGGTTCTTAGGGTTTAAAAATCAGTGCGGGGACGTGCAGTTTGGGAATGATCGAATTCTATTCATTTTATTAGAAGAGATTATAAAGGTAACTAATAATCTTCATTTGCAATATCGTTAATCGTTAGATCGTTAAATCGTTTTAATAGGTATAGTTCGCGTAGCAGTTTCTGCAGCTTGTTTATTAGCCGTGAATCTGCTTTCATTTTCAGTTATCGGCATCTATTTCTGTTTCGTCGACATAATACATACCTTTCTCTAGCCGTTTTGTTACATAAAAAAAATTCGAAAATCCATTCAATACCCAAAGTATAAATTCATAAAAATGTTCTCCTTCAAGCACACAACGCGTCCTCCTGTTGATCCATCCAAGTACGTTTCTTCTTTTGAAAACGCTTCGATGAAGGTAGAGCTTGTAATAACTCGAATTACAACGTTCTTAGGCCGTCGTAAGGTATAATCCGCATCGCCATCAACAGCCGTTTTTAGAGACGCACGTATAGCACCGATCGCAAAAAGTATTATCGCAAAAAAAAGTGGAAATCAGCGAAAAACGAAATCTGTTGTATTTTTGTTGTGAAACTAAGGTTGCACGTTTTTGCCACACCTATCCGCAAGCTCACAGCTGACAAACAAAACACACTATACCATGCCGACCCGGATACATGAAATTGCCCAAGTAAAATACACTATCCTGCTAACCGTTAGGGAGGACCAATACTGGCTGAGGGCAAATGAATAGAGGCAACGCTGGACTTGATGCAATTCATTAACGTCTTTTGTCATCTTCAACAGCGCGCCTGACGCTTAGCTAGGGCACGCCTGTAGTATAGTTATTGCAGTAAAGATTAAAGCTAAAAGTATAGCAAAAGCTCCGAATATATTCTGTGTGCGAGCTGTCAAAAAATTATCGAATGATCTTCTGCACGACCTTTGGAAACTGCAAAAGGACTCTTCAGACTTGTAAAACCGAGTCGAACGATTTCACGGACGTCATTGGCATGACTTGATAAAATCAAGCAGAGAGATCACCCTAATAATGAATGTATTAAATAATAATAACACAGAGCTAAAACCTAATTCTTTCAGTTAATGAAAATGTGTGTGAAAAAATTTATGTGACTTAAAAATGTAAATTTATTCAGCAAGGTCATTGAAGCAATGAACACAACAGAAAGCGAACATGTCTTCTCTAATTATGTGATCTTTAGGTACATTTACTTGTAAGCGCTAAGTTTGTAGTTATAGACTATTACGATTGGCAAAACTTCGATAAATACTATTGACTTTCCACCGTAGATAGTCTTGTGCGACTAATTAACATGCGTTACTGACGATACGGGTGAGCTCGGTATTCGCGCCGATTTCCACATTGAATACTCAAGGTATCCTAACGCTGATGTACGCTGTAACGAAATTAATCGAGCAAACAACTTCTTCAGGTCTCGAAAAAGATATCGCTACAAACATCTTCGGCTGAGCGTAGAAGAGTTGGTTTGGTCGGCTTATTTCAGTTGGAACAATTCCGCGTTGTTACTAGCCACTATCTAGCTACGCTGACAAAAAGTTGATCAATTCTTGTTTTGCTTAGTTTGTCGTAGAACATAACGCCTATTTGAAGAGGGGACTGTTGTTGGTAATTGTAGAAGATATCTGGAAAGCGGGAAAATAATTTGTGGGCTCTTCATAGCTTTGAGGGACCCAAATGTACATCACTTATTCCTTTACGTTAGTGCAATTCACAGTTGTTAAGTGTTGTTCGTTACCGCTGTTCTGGTAGACGATAGAATCCACTTACGTAAAACAGCAGATACAGGATGCATTTTAATGGTACTTATATTTGAAAGATGTAAAGAATGCAAAGCTTGGCCTTGTACAAGCTTTGCACAGCTTTACAAAATTTAGCAAAATCAAAGTTAGAATGAAGTTTTATTCAACCATTTGGAAGTATATTTAAAATTCATCTTTAAAATGGTGTAAGTGAAAACCTACAACGATTTGTTTTAAAAAATTCAGATCATCTATCATATTTGGGAGCCTGGCGACTTGAAACCTATGAGGGGATTGAAATGATCACATCAGAAGGACAGCTAAACTAATAGAAATTAATTGCTTAAAACAGTAAGCATTTTACGTTATTGAAAATCAAGGTGTCGGTTGATTGAATGAATTGTGCACTATTCAAAATAAATATCTATTCATTCAAGAATAATGATAATGTCAAATGAGACTTTTATTCACAACAACCAACATTTTCATGAATGCTGTGCGCTCGTTATTTCAATGCGTACCAAAAACCACTTGTCTTTTAATGAAAAAATGCATATTTATTATAAACTTCCATTTCTGCTATACAGCGACATACGGTCATTGTGTAGATTTTAGTTTGCTCAAACGCAGAACGTATTTACTGTATCGTAGCACCAGATCGAGTTACCCAAAGACCCATTGTAAGATTGTATATACGCAGACTAGCTAAGATTGATACAGAGAGCTTCCTAGAGATCAAAGTGCTACGGTTTTCTTACCAGGTTACGCGCTATCATTTTCATCAACGTTCTCTGCAGAAGAGAACTAACTCCTGTTTCGACAATAGCTAAATCACCGATATTCAAATTTTGTTCAGAATAGAAAAAGTAAAATACCTACCTAAATGTTAACACTCAATGCTTATTGTTGTGTTCAGTTCAAGTTCAAAGAAAGTATTTATCATTTTAGCTTTATTCGACGCTTAAGAGTGAACTGTAAACAGGCGATCTTCAGGAGCAAGAACTACGTCACAGCAGGTTTTTTGTTGAGTTTAATCTGTTTTTTTCATCATTCATCGTAAATTGCATCATTTAGTTGACGCCTCAAACAAACCGATAATAGCCAACCGCATCAAAGTGACCGTGTATATTCGTACGTTGTAAGTTTAAGTAAAAAAGAATACAAGGAACAGTAATAACATATAATAAAGACGAGTGTCAAATAATATATAAAAAGAAATATTAGATCAGAAAAGATGCAAAAATACTATTGTGAAAACGTAAAGAAGAATAAATATCTAAAGAACAGGGGAAAAAACGTAGGACTATAGAATAAGCAAAGTCGAATAGCTTTAAAAAAAGCCAGTTTCATGTGCTCACCGTCGTTACAACAACCACCATTGTGTCATCCAATATCTAAAGGTTGCTTCGAAAACATCGGAATGATTTTTCGAATCGTAGCCGCCGAGTTTTGAGTCATTGAACTAGAAGAGATACCGATACAGATTTAGGCAAAAGTCGAACTATAACACCGGTGCACTACAAATGGAAAATCATACAGTCTTACTAATTCTGTTGTAGCGTTGTAATTCTTTGTAGTGATAAAGCAAACCGTGTAGAAACATGTTACTGGTAATTTCAGTGCTGGCACATATGCAACATGGTCAAAGTTTTATAGGCAGCAATCATTTATATTTTTAATTCATCAATCCATTTGCTTTATTTTTGATAAAATTCTTAGTTGAGCTAGTCGCCGAAGATCACTCGAGCCAATTTGTAGCAGCTGATAATCAAATTTCACGTAGTTTTTTTTATTATGAAAAGTTTTTCCACATTACTTTGTTATGTAATATCTAATGTGCCTTATTATAATACTTTATTAAGAAAGGACACTTTAGCTGACAGTTAGTTAATTACAAGGAGTGCTGATGCCGCCATCTGATGTTATGCAGCCCAATGTGGAATGTTAAGGACTTAATAATCATCCAGGTTAATTTGACACGTTTCATTCAATGACCCACACACGAACGCGGGGCTTTGATAGTTTAAGGTAGTTTTGACGAGAGGCTTAAGTTGTTGCGCGATGTGGTGACACAGAATTTAATCCGAATCATAAATGTGTTAAAATGAATTATGTCACGAAGCTAAATACGCGGCGTTTGCTAATTGCAATCTAATTACTAAGCACGACCGAACAGCAATACTTGTGTCTATAAGAAAAACTACAGTTTTATTATTTTTTCCATTGTACAATGAGTTTGACTAGTGTCACATGTGAACAATAAATATACGTTACAACTTGTTAAAGTCTATGCAGGCAGTAGATACAGGCTATGCTTTGATTTGCACATAGTAGTGTAACCTTGTCGATTGGAAAATTATATTGACATAGCGCAATGTGAATAGAGCAAAACGGTACACGTGTAAATCTTTTTCAGCATAACTTTGCATAAAAGATAATTTGCATAGAACCGATAATTTTATTGAAGCAGTTTTTATTTCTCCCATGACTAGTATTATTATTATTATTATTATTAACACGTCAGGTTTGTGTATATGTAAGGCCTGTTCTTTGTTTTTCTAGTATTTTTTTTACCAATAATTGAATGTTATGCGGAGGTCAAAGATGTTTTTTATTGTTATCATTTCGTAAACATCCTAAAATGGCGCCCTTGCTTTAATCTTGTTTCATCTAATCTTTTTCTTTTTTCAACTGTGATTTATAGTGATCATCGATAAAACCCAAAGTGACCTCCCTTCTGTGGGTAGAAAATACCGCTTTCCAGCTAGCCAAGCCACTTTTAAGCTATATTCACAGCTACAAAATCCTATATAATCCGAATGTATAGGATACTACCCAGTACTATTTAAACATTTTTCCTTTTAGGATAAGGCTGATAACGAGCGTCAAGGATGCTGTTTTTGCCACTGAACATACCCATTTTTGAATTCCGAATGGAAAGCAAAACGTCTTGTAATCTAGACAAAACTATAATAATAACTTTTTAGAGCAAGCAAACGGTGGTTAATTATGCGCCAATTTAATACGTATACGCATAGCTGTGACTCTGAAACAACGTCATTACTGATGACAGTAATAATAAATCTATAAATATTATGCAAGCATTGCCTCACTTTAAGATCAAGCGAGACCATCAACATTCGCTCATTTACTTCAGAGTTATGCTTTCTGGAGTACATTATATTTCACCAGGTTTTATACACGTTAGTAAATGTTTAAAAAAATATACAATTCTCCAAATCTTCAGCCTTATTTTGCATCGCGTTAAAACCGGACCTCGGTTGTAATATAGTACAGCTACGGAGTCAGGACTACTAGAGACAACAACTGTATAATACACAACTTTGGCGATAACAGTAATGAAAAACAGACTTAAAACATGAGTTTCAACAATATTAGTATTTTCTGTTGATAGTAACATTATTTTCCTATTGTGCAAAATATTGGTTTTAAAGGGTTTTATCTTAGAAAGAAAATGACGACGACTACTACGTCGTTCCATGGATAAAAATATTCGATCTGCCATCATTGTCATCGGTACACTGTACAAACGCATATAACGTTTTCGAGCAAAACGGTAAATTGATCACTTGCCACATCATAAACACCAGTATATTATTATAACTGCTCCTGGAAATCTCTGCTTAGCTGTTCTGAAATTACAAATTTACCTTACACTAGAATATCCGATATTCCTTAATTCCTCACAGTGTTGAAACAGCGAATCCGTCTAAATGGCCCTAACTAGTAGAAATCGCATAATTGAGAGTAGTAGAGACGTCATATAATCCAACATAACATAATGATGTCATGTATGAGGCTGATATTGGGTTTATAAAGGTCATGTTTGGATATTCAGTAATACACGCAATGCTTTCAAAATACGTTATGGCTGAAACGTGCAGTAAGCATCGTATCCACATCTGATGACCAGGCTTTGAGGCTACCTTGGTTAACCATGCGATATGTGCAAAAGTTCGAGGGTTGTTTTACCGAAACGAGAATGACTCCGAAAAACAGCGAGGTCTTTCCGTGTGATCATCCCTACAACCTCATTTTGATCATTCACAACCGTTAAGTGGCGTAAACCTAATGCACGAAACAGTTTGTGAATGCGGTAGAGAGAGGAATTCTGAAACGAGGCAAAAAATATGTCAACGTAAGTTTTCGACGGTTAGTTACAATGTATCTCCACACGAAATAAGCGTTACCTATGGACTATTTAGCAATGTATGTGAAGTGTTTGCAATTCTTCTATGCATAGTCTAAGTTAACAAGAATTTGACTTTATTACAATACAACATGAGGATTTGATGCAATCTAGCTCACATGTGATATGCTATATGCAGAGAAGTTCATGAATGGTCGTAAGTCAATGTGGAATTCCCTTTCTGCTAAGGACACGTGCACTTGCTGAAAAGTGGACAGACATTAAATTGGATCTCTCAATTAATATTTATTCACCGTCGATAATTTATTTTTACTCGTCTCGAAACAGATAAATCGATTCGTGCCTCAGACACAGACAACTTGGAAGTCACCTATACAGCCTATGATAACACCGGTTGATGCGTTACGGACAGTTTGCGCTACTTAATAATACATATAAGCTGTAGAGGTTACAATGTGACACGTAGATAGCCGTAGTCCTCTATTCACGGACCACTTTAAAAAAGCGCCTACGAAAAAGCAGGTTGTAAAAAACGAATGTGCTGTGGTGGCTACAAAGTATTCAGACCTTAATAGGCTGCTCTACTCACGTTTACACTTGAGTATCTCGGATACGGCTCACGGAAGTCTCGACTACCCATTCGAGTCCAGATCACATCGACCATTTCATTGAAGATCTTATTCTGAAGCAACACAATCAACTGATCACGAAGAATGAGACCCCGGAAGCGACCGAAGTGTTTTGGTCTAGATGTGCCATCGATTCCTGATACACCGACTTCGTTGAAGCCTTTTGCTTCTTCGAACTTGCCACCGCCTCGGTATAACGTCTCAGGGTCAACACCGTCAGTGACAGGGAATCCGTTGTGAGTGGTTTTTGAAAGAATATCCATCAGATCACCCACTTTTACTACTGTCGGCAGTGTGACTACAGGAAAGGCCATAATCTCGCTATAACCAGACAAGTTACGACAATGAATAATAATATTCATTGACTAGGACCAATGATCGAAGACCTTTCTCTTATTCAATATACATATGAAACATTATTGATTTACATTCAAAACGCCTATTATTCATCTTTCAAATATATATAACATTATCTCAACAATCCCGTAATATTTTCATAGCCTTTAACATACCTGGCATAAATGTGATGTCCTTCCTTGGGCGCTTCCCAGTTTAGAAATGGTACTCGAGACAACTGAAAATGGAAATCGTACAATCCTTCGAAGAGATAATCTCCAACCCATTTGGCGACAATGAGGGTAATGACAATTGGCATGCAAAAGGTAATGTCTCGGGTTGCCTCGATGAGAATAACCGACAACGAGAGCGTCATTCGAACAACACCGCCTAGAGTGGCGGCAGCCCCTATCAGGGCAAACTTGCCTGGCTCCACGTCCCACTTGTAATCGAAATGGCTTACAAGAGTTTTAGTGGCTATCCCGAACAACCTGCAAAGGAGTTTGAACATAAATGTGGATATTTTCATGATTTTGTCTTAAATGAACGAGCGCTATGCAGTATATCACTGAGCGGCGATAAACTAACCGGCCGAAAACGGCACCCATTAACAGGGTCGGAATGAATACGCCCGACGAAACGCTGAGTCCGTACGTCCAGCAGTTGATAATGAAATAAACAACGAAGAATATCGAAAGCGTAGAAGCGGACCAGGTTCCCTCAGGCATGTGGAACAATGACCGCACAGATTTTTCTGGAGTCTGGAACCATAATTGACCGATTACCGAGTATTTTCCATCCTTACAATGGAACTGGAATAGACAAAAAAAATAGGAAAGTTTTACGCTTTCTTTGCACTCTAGTTTGGCGCTGTTTTTTTCTCTATCAAGCAAAAGGTTTTGTTTAGAAAAAAAACACGCTTTCGAGGTATGATAAGCAAAGCTAACCTTGAACATCAACCATTAATTCCGGTTCTGATTTTTCGTTGCGGTATATAATCTAGGCAACATATATGCCTACTGATTAATGCACAATGACGTTAGTACCTGCGATCACAAAGAATAGTAATGATTCCTCTTAAGGTGCTAATATCTAAACTTAGTGCCATTACTAAGCGCTGCTTCAGAAGCGATGACATCTAAATACAGTAATGCCAAATTTTGCTCATATAGATAATTAGATAAAAAAAAACTCACAGCAATTCCAAATACTTGTTGGATCATATAATAAAGTTTCCGAAAAAAGACTCAGACCGACGCTTGCTATACGCGAGTAACTGATTCTACAAGTTCAACAACAGTATTGAATATTTAGCCAATATGGCTTGCCTGTAAAGAGTTGTCAGTGTGCTTCTCATCCTGTTGAGCTGAGCAATCATCGATGAGCTCGATGAGGAAAAATGCAACAGTTGCGGTTATAACGGCAACCAAAACACCTTCCACAACCTATGATACAAATTGATACAAACAAACCAACAATGACACACATTACTTAACGACTTAACTATGTATCGCCCCGTATCACTTTACGGAATGTGCGCGTTTTTTAATACAACATGACTTACTTTGGTTTTAGAGATGCCGCTGTCTATTTCGATAGGAGTAAGTTTTTTTATATGTCGTTATTATACGTTTTTTGTATGGGAAGTTCAATGGTTTGATACCTATGGCTTGTTGTCAAAAGACACATATGCATCATTATTTTCAACTTTAAGCATTTGATGATGCTGGATAAAAGTGAGCAAACAAGTTTTCGTGGAAACTCACCTTCATTGGTTTACGATGAATGAACTGAGCGCGAAATACGGAAAGCCTGTAGTTGAGATAATTGTAGAAAGCCCCTAAAACACCGCCGATTGCACCCATAAACATGTACAATGGAATTTCTATAATCTCCCAGTGGACAGACTAATTCAGAGAAATAAAAGAAAGAAGGAAAGACAAAAACAACTTACAGATTTTTTTCGAACATCGAATTTCTATTTGATTGAGTTAACTTCTAACGGTATGACTGGGATTATTTTCATTAATAAGCACTATACGGTAAGACACGTTCATAGAAAACCTGAAAAACATATTAACCGATCATAAGCGGTAATATTAAGTTAGAGAAAACATGTAGATAATAGTAATAATAACAATCTTCTTTATATAAATAGTGCACAGAGCTTGGTAGAAAGAACTTACGCTTCCAAACGAACCAAAATTAAGCAAGCCAGCACTAGACAGCACGCCCGGTTCGCCATGATACAAAGACAGGCAGAAGGATAAAGTGAATGCGCTTACAGTCGAACAAAAGAATATTTTCCACGTGAGGGCCTGATTCCAAAACGATGCACCTTCTTCTAATGCGAACAGCACACCGCCAACAGGAGCGCCGAAAGCAGCAGCGACACCTAAATTGAATATGCGAGCCCATTTCGATGAAAATTAATATCACAAAATTATTAATCGACGGGAATTACAATAAAAGTAGGTGGGGTTTAGTCACTGCTTAGATGAATGATGTTTTTTTTACAAAATTGAAAATGGACGGACCTTTTTTTCGTCTATCTCTTTTAAGTGCCAAAAACCTTTCTTCAATAGCGTGTATTGTAAGCGTTTGACTGAAAAAAAAATCTAAAGACTAACAGACCCGCAGCAGCTCCGGCTGAAACGAAGTCTCGCTTTTCGTGGTCCTGTCGGAACTCGTGAAATATTTTGAAATCTCGTTTGAGCGTGCTACTCTTTCCTTGGCTAATACCCGCCGCAATGACGGCTCCGCAATGAACCATCGGTCCCTCTTTACCCACAGCGAGCCCTCCAACCACGCTGAGTATTACACCGACCGATTTAACTATTAGGGTTTTTATCCTGAAAGACCATATTTAGCACTTTAAACGAACAGTAGCGTGGTACAAAAAAGTTTGATGATATCACAAGATCGTGACGTGCGTACTACTAAAGACTAAAAGGAAATACTTATTCCTTACTGGTGGTTTTATGTAAAAATATTAGCGAAACTTTATATCGACCATTTATCACTGCCATCAAATCCCATTAGACAGACTCCCTATCGGAGCACTGATCGATTAACGACGACTTCGAGATCAAAAATATTACCTGACCATTTCAGGTATTTTGACCCCATTGAGGTAGCATTTGATGACGGGAATTCCGCTCCCAGCAGCGACGGGTGAAATGAACGTAACCAGTAATGAACCAATGAGAACAGGCAAAGCATTTGCCATAATCCAAGCCAGGTAGGGTTGCACGAGACAGTTGTCGTGTACACATCTGACACCACAACGAATGAAGTAAACCCGAATTAGGTTAATTCTTTCGCACTCAATTTTAATACTTCGAATAATCAGAACTACTGCTACTAAACAGTTTTCCCGTAACAACACGTCTGTTTTTGTGAAATATGCAATGATTGCCCTAAAAATCTTACCTGTTCATGAGCTTCTGAATAATGCCGAATTTTATCGACGAAAGCTCTTCGATCGAGACATCGATAAAAATAGCTGTAAAAGCCGTTAACACTCCGATGACAAGTATGACTAGCCAACGTTGAAGCTCAATCCACGTTGAACGCTGTTAATCAAAAATGGCTTGATGCTACTACTTACTACTTATGAAAGTAAACCTAAGCTAGTTTGGTATTTTTAATCAGCAGAAGCTTCCGCAAATACACACCGCGATAACAATTGCTAGCCAAGAAATGTCTGGCTTTGAAGTAGGCAAATTGGACAATTTGAAAATGAAATAATGTTTAGTCTGCCCTACTCAGACCGACAATAAATGCAACTTATTTAATAGCTGCAGGAAAATTCCCGCACATTTTTTTGTTGTACATATAGTGTTTTTATTTGACCAATGATAAATGGCATTTACGTCCAACTCATTTTCTTCTTATAGATTCCAGGCTTTTTAGCATTTCAGGAGAAAGTACGTTCAGTCACTGCTTTTCGATAAGAAATCATACTTTGGGGAAGAAATTTTGTAATTAAAAAGGTATATGCAGGTTTCTATTAAATAAATTTCTTTTAAATCCTATTAAAGTGCGAGATGATATGTCAACACATGGCGCTTCTGAGTTACTCGGACATGATGTATGTCAGTTACTCGACGTTAACGTACAATAAGTTCTATCCGTGCGAGAGGTAGGATTTAGCAAAACTTAGAAAGGCTTTCAGTAGGATATTTTCTAACAAACAGGCTGCCAAAAAGTGTCCGTATAACCATGAGTGTGGGAGAAAGTTCTCCAAAAGTCAACGACAAACAACCAGTATAGAACTTATCTAGGTCACGTTACAAATCAATCATGAGTTGAATACACACAAAGCTGTTGTTTTTGTTAATACGGTGATGTTCTTCGATGAAAAGCTGACTTTCGCACGGATCGTAGTCCAGACTCTGAAAATATCAAATATGACTAGAATGTATAATCTCGTGCATTTCGTTTAGAATATAATTACCAATCCAATCAATTAATTAATGCTTTTGCCTAATTTTGTTTGCACTATCGTAAACTCGGCATCTACCTCTGCTAGCTGATGCTAGAAAACGTGTAGCTTAAATCCTACAATCGTCGCATATTGCAAGGAAAATACAAGCACAACTGACACAAGCCACAACATGCAGAGATACCTCATATTTCTGTGAAATGAGCTTGAGACTTCCAAGGATTTCCCTTTTCCCAGAATAACTTGTCCGACGTCTCCGCAACAAACTTGCATTATCCGCCTGCAACGGAAAATCGTAATAAATGTCAAACAGTGTTTATTGGAAGGATTCAAAATTCATTACCTCATATGTTATATTGTAGTAATGTCGACTATACTTAATGTCAAAACAAAAAATTTAACTATTTATTATTATTTAGTTATATTAAAAGATGAATATTCAAGTACTGCAGATTATCCCGTAAAGGAGAATACATATTCAGCAAAAAAATTGTTCAAGGAGTGAGACTGAATGTCCTTTAGCCAGCAAATTCCCAAGACGTTATAACTATTTTTAAATATTACATTTCATATATATAAAAATACGCTTTATATATTAGATATTGCACTTAAACTTTACTGAAGGGTTTTTTTTTATCAAATATGATACATGCATGATCAGAAAGTTGAACAAAATTTTCGGAATTAAACTTTTTTTGAACCATGTCCTAGGGTAAGAAATGAAGCATCTATTTCACTGATATTATTCACAGGCTTTAATCCGGCATTATTTAAGGCTCTGCAATCTTTCAAGCCATATATATAATGAGGGGGGTAACGAGACAAAATATATCGACAACTTGAAAAAAAATATAGTTTTTAAACACATTACTCGCATTGCACATAAGACGAACTGCTTATGCATGACCGTTAGCGTTACAGATAAAGCTAATCACCTGAACTCCTTAACGCCATACTCCATACTCCTGAACGCTGAACTTTTGCTGATTGTGATCTCCAAAGAAGCTTATCCTTCAAGTGTTATTCATTGAGTTCTAACTAACCGATTGCGACGTCAGCAATTGACCAAATAAAGTTTCAGGTAGAAAGAAATATCAAGAAAGTGTTACTCAAAAAACTAAATTCCACTGGACAGATACGAAACAAGTACAACAATACGATAAAGTGTTAAGAATGCCCATGATTCCAAGAAAGGTCACCGTAAAAATATTTGCCCCTCAAATAGGCAGAGTCTGTGACGATTGCAGACAGTGATAGCTTCCTGACATTGAAGAACATACTGATTGGTGAATGTTAATGATCTCTTCTCGAAATAAAACACTATTATAAACTGAGAAGTATGCGATAACTTAAATATCACTAGTACCCTTGTTTCTATAGAAATCTTTGCTCATCGATTGAAGGTTCATCCTTAGAATAAATTTCATACTTTAACAAGCAATAGACTATGTTAGACACACTTCAGTCAATGGCCAACAAATGAATAAACAATGGTTGATTACCTGATTGGCTTCGAGTTCAAGCGCACTACTTTTTCGGATGTGGATATTTTCCATTTTCCTCTTAAGTGGAGAAATACCTACTCTTGATTTCAACAGCGATATATATACAGGATAAAACCGCTAAGGAAAACTTTGCTTATCAATTAACGTTAGTGGTCGTACAATATGCTACTTTCTCATTTTAAAATAAGTACATTAACTTAACCAACGAATCACTTCATCGATCACGGCAATTTATGTGGTCAAATTCATCTAAATTGAGTCACTATTATATTTCAATGTTAGCAAATACTATATAGACAGCTAGAGGCGTTTTATAACCGTTTATCGATTTTATCTGCTATTCGTATATCGTTTGATAGAGCCCGCGCATTGTTCTCGATTGCACCATCTATTAAAATGTAACGCGCCTTCTCTATAGTCGATGTCCACTCCTAGAGGATTAATTCTGAGCTTAATAAGCATAAAGCCAAAGTTAGGCTACGACGATTAGATTATTATGATTGAGTTGGGGTGGTGATTCTTATATTTATGTAACATTTTGTATAAAAATGAAAAGAGACAATATCAAAAAGGATATAACTGAATATCTATACATTTATTTATTTCAATTAACATTAATTTTTACTTCCTTAACTTAACTACTTAATTCAAATAACATTAATTAGCCTAAGGGGCTAGATCGAATCCTGGTCTAACAAATCATTATTTTAATGTGTAACAAATGTTAGTCAAGAAAAGGATCTCTACTCAATAGTTGCCCCCCTTTGGTTGGGACCTGGATAACTCATAACTACCTACATGTTGGCTAAACGTAAAACACATATTTAAAAGGTAAAAAATGTGTGTTGTGATATTATGTTAATAATAGTCGTCCGTTTTTCATTTCGTCATCTTTGCCATTTTCTCTCTTGCTCTTTTTTAAAGGGTTCATTGATACACTTAATTCGGTCAGCTGTTAGTCATTGAGGTGACAAGAAAAATGGGCGCTTGTTTGGGCTCGTATTTTTAGTGTCTTAAAACCTGGCACTCGAAGATTGTCACTTAACACACCTGATCATGAAGCTGCGCTGAAATCTCCTGAACATCATCTTCCTGATAAAATGACGCTTTGCATACTTCCTCTGAAGAAGTCGCCATCACACAGTAAGGAGCGCTCTTGTTCGTAGCAAAAACTTTACTGTTTGTTATTTTCTGATGAACTGCTAAAGTTGAACACAATATTCACACACCTTTTAAGATATAAGACAATAGTGTTTTTTTCCTTAGAGATACAACATCAAGGTATTGGGTTCATTTACCGGAGCAGTCACATGGCTACCCTAGTACAACTGAATGCATGCTGATGGATCGGATTAAGTGAGGGGCCGTACATATGTAAAGAGTGCGAAACGTCACCTTAGCACGTTGATTTTTTCCTTTCTCTCTCTCTACGTAATTTTATCACCAGTCAAACACAGTCGCAGACGAACTTTATTGCCTGACATAAAAACCACTTACGAGCTCTGCATCGTCCACCGCTCTTGCTGCTATAATTTATCGGTATTTTTTACGTCCGAAATAAAACTTACACTTTGTCCTATAAATTAAAACTAGGTAATAAAAAAAAGTACGGTCAGGGTTCTATAACACATCCAGTGCGCAGAGCCTGTCTTCACTGAATGAAACTTCCATTATTCTTATTTTAAATGTTTCTATGAAGTGTCTATGCCACCCGAGTAAAAGGTGCTTTGGCGGGCGATTGATGTAATGAATAGTAAACAAAATAGTTTGTAACCAACTGACAAGGATTACCGTCAAGTAAGTTAAGCTATAGATTATCTTTACAAACTTAATCTATCCAGCTTTATTTTTTACTATACTCAATATAATTAACCTTAAGAAGTTTTACCTTAAGAACTTATTAAGAAGTTTTAAGCCACTTTAACTTATGTATGTCAACTTTAAAATACATTAATTAAATTCGAATTATTTTTACGGTTAACGTAAACTTCTTAAATAATAGTAACTAGTTACGTTCTCCATGCTTGATGCTATTTAAATTTCGCATATGAATCTCGTACAGTAGTAGCACGCCTATAATCCATGGAGGACTGAACGAGGAAGTCAATTCTATAGGCATTTAAATAAGCAGAGAAGTAAGAATCCACATTAACAAGTTTTAAACAGTTGAGTTATTGAAACAATTATTTTATGAAATTTCAGAATGGACACACCTCTGATTTCCCAGTCGTGCCATGTTCGTAAACCAAGCAGGCCAAAGAAGGGGCCCATTTCGAAATATTCCCAAATTTGGCAAAACTTGGAACAAAAGGTAAATTCACTAAAAAACTAGTTATTAGTTGTTAGTGATCTTTACGCACTTGAGGTAGGCATGGCCATTGATCTCTGAGGCGCTCTGAGGATACCATTATTCGCTTTGATACTTGTGAAGATGTCCCATGGTATTGGAAGCAAACATGGGAAACCAAATCCTTGAATAACACAATTATAGACACACTCAAAAATGCCTTAATATACACGACTTTCTAATACTTGCAACATTTATTTTCTGTACTCAATTTTTTTTCAGGGTACTTTGACACTACATTAAATGTCTTAATGATGAGCCTGTTTTCTCAAAGTCGATTCAGTGGGATGTCTGTAAGAATGTTGGAGACGCTCTAAGACTACAATGATACATATTTAGTCACTATGCGATAAATAAAAATGAAATATTTATCACTGTGGACAGCTATACCACTTACATAAAATAAACAAACAGTAATTTACCATTGAGCAATAATCTGCTAGTTAATTCATGCTCATTTAGTATGGAGATAGTTTCCTGCCAAATGTTTGGTTTGTTGGACAACGACAAAAAATTTCTCTATTAGTCACTTCACATGGAAAGCTTTTTTAGAAAGACTGCTTATTGCTGCATGATCATTCTACCGTTTACACTGGACTCCTATAAGAAGAAGTGTCCGTTATTATGTGTACACTATATAAAAGGTACACCATTTTCCCTTTGTTTTGACGGTTTTATTTAGACATGGGTAATCTTAAACGGCTCGGATAGGGTCAGACGAACTGTAATGATTATAGAAACTATAAATGAACCTTATCTTTTTTCGACTGTTACAGTTGACGGCATATCATGTTGAAAAGCACGAGCAGTTGATTAGATCTGTTTTGCAATTCTTTTCAAGCGGATGTGACCAGAAGCAGGAGAACATACCAACTGCCATGATTCGACTTGGCTCCAGCGTTTCCGACCATTCCGGTGGGTCGATCTCTAACTAACCAACTCATAGCTGGAAACGACTTGTAAACCAACTACTTGACGTCTTCACATTCCGAGCTGTTATTTAGAATGCACAACGAGAAATGCACGATTATAAGTGGCGTACAACCTTGGCATTAAAGAGGAAAAATTCTTGACAGTTAGTTAAATATTTGTCAAAGACTTAATTTTGGGTATAGATTTGATCAAATTATTGAATGTTTTCTTCGTGTTTATTCGAACATGATGTTAATTGATTGATAAATTGCAGGTGTCTTTGGTGAGCTCTCGAATCAGCTACACAAAGTCACGCCTTTGATTTGTCGTCTGTCGCCTGTCGATTGCACTTCGCTTTCTGGAATCCTTCAAAAAATGTTTAATGAATTCATAGCTGTGCTTAACCTCGACGATGAGCCGAAAATCAAAAGGGCGTTAATCAGCTTTGAGAACTTGGTCCAAATATATAAGCTCGTTGCTTGTGAGCAACCAGGGATGACATGTGGAAGTCCCAGGAAAAGGAAAAGTGCGTTATACAATAATATGATAAATGCATGTAGATAAAGAAAAACGTTGAATCGGTCAAACTTTGGGAGGACCGAAAAACTATTGCCAGCGGATTTTTGAACAATATTACTTGTTTAATAATTTTCTATATTCTACACAGTGTTGACATTCAATTCTCGTCCATTAAAGTGACAAAATCGTTTGCAGCTTCGAAATTTCGTCTGGGCGCAAAAAAGTTTATTATAATTATTGAAGACGTAACTTCGGTAAAAACTACAATCCTTGAGGACCTTTCCCAGATTCTGAAAACTCACCTCGAAGAGATGGATACCTGTCTTGTATTCGGTATGTTTACCGCGTTTAGTATCTTTAACTACTCACGCTTTGGACCTATACTAGTGTACTATGACATCATGTCTTTCTTAACAATTACAATTAATAAGTTCCTAAAGCTATATTAAATGATAGGCTTTATCTCAGTCTACGGACATAAATATTTCTAATAATGTGTATGTACATGTGCGTGTACTGATGGATGTCTATCGCCACATTGTAATGTGCGTGTACTGGATTGCCAAAAGGAATTTTTCTATCACATTATTTTTTTGTTTCTTTAAATAAAGTATATATATAGGACATATGCACAGAGTTGAATCCGAGCATAGTCAATGACCATGTTTCGGGTGCTTGTTTTGCAGGCATTTCGTCGACGGCGCAGCATATTCACAAGATACTAAGTTTACGATGTGCTTCAAACCTTTTTATCCGGTCGTTTTCTTCACCTCCCGTTGAAGAAACGCTCAATGGGATCTTTGATCTACTCGTCCTCAATAGAGATTTTCCTTTTAAACTGGAGCCAGAGGTAAGATTCCTTCAAATGCCTTGCCCACTGAGCCAAAAGCCGACACTCTTTGGTAGCTCTATATATCCGTCTCTTTCGTAAGGCTTACACCTTTGAAGTTAGTGTTGAATATGTATGAGAAGAATCGTCAGTGAAGTCATATACACTATTATAGAGTAAATCGCGGAGTAATAAAAGATGATCGAGCATCAGCAGCTATAGGGTATTATTTCATAGCACATGCTTATTCTAACTCGCGGTGTTGTAGTTGGTAAGTAAACTATGCACTATATTAAAGCGCTACGTATGTAACCATATTTTTCAGTTAATGATTATTGTGTCATATCAAGGATTTCTCTTTTTAGTAATTCACACAGAAAGTTATTGTACAGGCAGGTATGAGTACAGGGTTTTACAATATTTCATATAATTTCAAAGGACATATGATAACGTAGCTTTTCCTTACTAATCGCGATTTCAGCATATTCTAAGGTACATGCGGTAGTATGTTTAACATATATATTAGTAACATAGTAATAAGCCCTCAGCAACACCACTTAAATATAGCATGTTCATATCGAAATATTGTTAATTCATTGGTAGCAATTGTTAAAATGTTATTAATTCAAACTTGCAGTACTACCACAACGTGTGGAACTTGTATTCATTTTCCATTTATTCTATTCCCTAAGCTATTCAACTGGATGACCGACTTTGTTCTCTACCATGATTTTTCCCTGAAGACAATGCTGCATATCCTCCGGGTAGCTCTGACAATTCACCTGGAGAAAGTGGACCCTAAGACGATATACTCTATGTGCAACCCGGGAACTGGTATGATCCTAGTTTTCATTTAGAGCGGTCCGGGTAATAACAGAACTGATGTACGCATTATTTCATCATGAAGTGATTTTGTGAAGTTGATTAACAACAGCAGATACCATACTTTATATTTTTCTCTTACTTCAATGGTGTACTTTTTTTTGCAGTTCTTTCATAATAAGCATCTGGGTTAACACCGCATACGTTTTCGTACTACATGCGTCATTTTCATCATATGGCAGGTAATACAAACATCTTTTGCATTGTTTCAGATCATGAAATAGATAAAGCTATGTTGCTGAACAGCGACAACGACTCTCTGCGTGAGAATCTTGCTAATGTCCTGGTGAGTCTGGCGGGTCTACGACCAGGGATCTTCAAGAACTGTTTCTTAAGCTTACAGAAGAAGTTCTTTGTTGACTCAGCTATTTTTCGTAAAACTGAACAAGTTATTCGGCTTCTATCCGCTAACGAGCTTCGGCAGAGGCTTCAGGTTTGTGTCCAGTCATATTTTAATTATTTAGTATATTTTTAGTAATCCTCAATTGCCAGTGCTGCTGTACTATTTTACAATGTACGCTGACAAACTTGTTTTGACCAAGGGTGAATTATGAAAAAATTAACCTATGTATAGTAATATTAACAACTGATGGTTGAATGAGTATGTGTAGAACACCGAAAAACTTTTGTTGTAAGTACTATAAAAAAAATAGTTATCTAATATTTGAAAAAGTTCCTGTGTGCTGCGTCGACAAATCTTTAGTTATCTACTATTCTGAACCGTTTTCATACTGTAAAGAGCCTTATCCGATGTTCTGTACGAACTTCCGTATTAACCTACTGAAATTGTTAAAATACGCTCCCCTCTCAATGTGCGGTTCAACTACCATAGTTGTTGCTGATCTAAACTAGTGTTCTTTTATCACGGTTTCTGTCATAGGAGCATGTGGCACCGCGTAAGAGTGGAGAAATTGCCGACAAGCTTAGAGGGTTTTGCGATTGCCTCGGACAAGATGGTCTCGACGAGAATTTGTCAGAGGCAGCGGAAAACGACTCAAAACAGTTCACTTCGAGGTTAGTTGAGCAATAGCAAGGATGAACAAAACAAAAAATTTGAATAGAGGATCGATTGTAATTCGGATATTATTGTAATTATCATACATTTTTCGTCTTGAAAAGCAACAACACTTTTCTCTCTCATATCAGGCAGCGTAATAATAAATAGCGATTCCGTCGATCATTTAAAAAACCTTTTAAAGAATCGTACAGTAGTTAAAACCTGTGCTGGCGATAAACTCTTGTATAGATGTTTGCTTGTAATGTTTAAAGGCAGGTTGTGGTATAAGTTCGAATCCAGGCGTCGACACACTTCGTATCGGTATGGGAGCCAGCCGTCTTACAGTGCCGGACGAAAAATTAGAAAGATTTAGTAAGCAAAGGTTATTAAATTTTTCTCTAAGCGTATATAATAATTAGTTGTTGATTGATTAATGGTTCTACTGTGTTTCGAAGGTCCGAATGGAAACAAGCGATGTTGGAAAGCGCAAGGAAAAAACGCACGACAAAACTTGACCTAATACGCGAAGATATCATCAGCTTCCTAAAAGACCAAGCGAAAAATGTGCTGACGCTTGCAGATTTGCCTCACGCTGAACATATTTATATCGGTACGAATGCATCGATTCGAACAGTATAGAAACCGTAAAAGGCTTTTAAAACTAACTTAACATTGCTAACTTCCCGATACAAAACTAAATAGAGAATTGGTAAAAAATAAGCTTGGGCGTGTTTTAGACGATGATATTTTACTTCGGACTTACCTACTTTACAGCTTTTTATAAAAATTACAGTTTTTTTTTCAAATATATTTTCCAGATCAATATCCGCAGAAAAAATCTTTTTAAATCCTAGAAAAATGCACACTATAGAGTATGCTTATGTTAAATTAAAAAATAGATCGTATGAAAGAATTACATATAGATGGATTAACCAATCGTAAATTTCAGTAAAAGGAAATGTTAGTATTGTAAACTACCTTCAAAGACAGAAATTAAATTATTTTTTCGGCAACCTTGGTTAATCAACGCCGAGATAACAAGGTGACTAAAGGTTTCTACGAATACCAGTTCACTAAGATACGTTTCGTTCCGCTAACGACTCCACTAGACGTTTTTGTTTTTTTCTAAGGAAGCAATTAGCAAATTTATCTAAATCTAGTGATCTCAGCGTGAACGTCCATTTGATTTGGAAATAATTCAAAAAAGCCTCAACCTCTATTTTAATAATTTTGCCATATTTAAGTACTGTTATATATTGTGTTGTGTTATATGCATATATCCGGATTGAGAGTAATTTTTATATATATTCATTTGTTAAGGGAATGTATCAGAACTTCGTGCAATGTTTGCCCCAACGCTACGTACCACCTTGAATCGAGCTCTGGCAACCCCGTCTAGTGTTCTATCATGTCATTGTTGTAGAGTAAAATCAGCTGAAGCATCAGCCTGTTTACCACCTATTAGCATCGTATACAAGCTCCATCTTGAGTGTGGGAAAATGATAAACGTTTACGACATGCTGCTGAGTTACCAGGTAATGTCTGCGTTGCAAGTCAACAAAGAGTTGAATAATTTTTAAACGTCATAGTTGATCGTTTGTTTCTATTGCTATAACAGCACTGTGGCATCACATGAAAGTCTGTGTTAACAACTTTATTCTTCCTTCTTCTTTATTTATGACCATCCGAATAACAGCTAAAATCCGCAGTAACACCGAGAAGACTACGACGAGTTACTGCTGAACACATTTAAATCACATTTAAACACACAAAATTAAATAAAGTATTTAAAGATAAACTGTGAGTTGTCGTTGTGATGTATGATCAATTTAACTAATCGCTTGTTTTAATGGCCATTTATCTGGTAATATTAGTCTGTCAGGGAGGATGATTCGGAAGTGTCAATCGCGGAGTTTCTTCGTGCTCTCCGCGAACTCCAAGTCTTAGGTTATGTGAAGCCGACAACACGAAAAATGGACCACCTTCAACGGTTGACATGGGGCTCCTGTTGATGCTGACGACCCTAAAACGTGGGCTGTCTTAGTTGACGTCGAACGTAAATACGCTTATGAGTAGAGGGATGCTGACGACCCTAAAAGAAGTTGGCCATAGACAAGGACCAAGCGTGGGCTGTCTTAGTTGACGTCGAACGTAAATACGCAGGCATTGAGTCTGTTATATGTATCTAATTGTTAGGTTGTACACACGTTCCCGATATGTAGGGAGTGCTTTCACAATGTTGATAAATTGAACTTGTTTTATTTAGACCTAATCAATACGCGTTTTTAGTTTCACATTACACATCACTACCAACATATTATCGTTTTCTCGTATCCTTTAATGCAAACAAGTGCACTGGAAATGTACCTTAGGTAGGAAGATACCTAGGCAAAGGGCGCATACCCATTCTTATATTAAGGTCTCTCGATTGTTTGTTATAAATAGATATCTGTCAACGGGAGAAGCCTTTGTGTACAGTATAGCCTCTATGTTTCGAGTATTACGTCCGGTACCGCTGTTAGGCATTCCAACAGACGACTGGCTTCAAGCACGAAACGAAGTCTATCTATACCCAAGTTTAAGCCTAGACCACAACGTGTCTCTAAAATTAGTAAACAATTACGTCTCCCACTAAGCTAGCCCGGGGATATATAAACTATAGTCTAAAAAGAGTCATCAGTGCTAATTATCTCTAGCAGACCTCGCAGTTGATCAAATATCATGAGTATTCTGCTCAAGCTCGTCTCACAGCTCCAAGTAGAATGATAAACGTCCGATTATCTATAGAAAGAATAAACGGAATAATATAAGAACCTTATTTAGGTCAGAACCTGTAAAGTAATGCTCATGACCTATTTTTTTATGTTGACCTATTAAAGTACATATGTATACTTCTTATAATGAGCTTTCTTAATATTACCAAATCCAGTATCAAAATAAATGAAGATGCTTCTCGTCAGTTCAAACATTCATTCTTACCCGTCATTTACTTGCTGTATTCGTATATTCAAAGCAGAAAGTTCACATACACATTCCCTTAATCTAGTCGCGTGGCCTTGTAACTTTACATACCCTTAATCTAATTGCGTGGCTCTGTAATTTCACACTTAGGCATCACGCAGGCTATTTATATATACTTTTTATTGAAAAAGTAAGTATGTCAAAGATACGAACAATGAAGGCCAAAATAAAAACGTTAAATGATGAATCCTGTCTTCGAAGTATCTCCTGTTGTATATCTTTTCGAGCGTAAAAGCTTATTCCCTTTCTACTGAAAATTTTTCACTACCTCCGATTATCCTGACAAAACGGTAATACATGCACATGCGTCAATGTGACTTCCTTGGAAGGCAATAACTTAAGCTTTACATTACTTAATAGTATATTCGAATTAATATACTAATACTGGGAACCGAAAACGAATGACCAAATGCTTCATATTAACACATCTGACGTCGTTCGCATTCATCTCATTCCTCAAGTACAACGAACTCATTTACTACACTCGTCAGTATCGTTTTCGTTATTCTATTCGTAGCAAATAACAAAGGAAAGACGACCAACAGTAAACCCTGGTGTGCATTTGTGAAAAAGCAGGTCAGTGGTAGTGTTTCGTATCGGATATTGTCTGTGGTTTTTTAAGACCCCTCAGATAACCGGGCCTTCTTTAGGCGTCGTCTGATGGTTTCACTGTCAGCAACTGAGCACTTGCACGTTCTGTCTTCTTGCGATTAGAGCTCGTCGTGGTCCAAATCGTCGTTAGCTGAGTTTGCCTGTTCGGTTCCAGCCGAATGGTGACTCTGTTGGTTGGCAGTAAGCATGCCGGTCGTACAAGCAGCCGGAGTGGAGAATTCGAACTGATACTCACACCGAGAAGGTTCACTTGCAGACACGAGCTGATTCGAAAGGCCGCACTGCATGATGACAACGGTCGAACGCGATGGGCCATTCCAGCAGCCAGTACCTGCACAGAAAAAAGAGCAGCAGATGGTTGAAATATTATAATATTACTAACAAAATAATTCGAAAACGCATTTTTATCAAAAGTGATGATATCTAATTTTAGCTTATTTACTGGCTGTTTATGATTATTGCCTTAGTTATCAGTATAGATAATCAACATAAATGTGTGTTAAGCGTTTTAGTTCATTTGTCTTCCTTTTGAAAGTAAAATGCGAAAACAATGTCTCCGTATAAAATATAAATCTATTAGTATTGTACGTCAGACGTTCATGGCTTCATATATGATGAGATCTATTTCTGAAAGAATTAACGATTATTCATTAAAAAAAAAAAAGAAATAAGTAGATATTTGGATAAACAAAATGTCGGGGCGTTTGAGTAATTCGCCTATATAGAGGTCAACTTACCGCCTTCAAATTTCATGGCCGCGTATTTATTGCCGTCTCTTTGATCCCAGTGTGCATAGCGGCCAAGAGCCGTTTCCGAACCTCCATCTTTAGGTCGCTGACTGCAGCGATCGAAGGGGCAAAGCTTATATATGTACTCTTTCTCTGTAAGCTCGAAACATTCGCCACGTAATGGAACAAACTCCGATTCGTCACCAAAATCACCGTTCATAATCTGCTCGTACTTCCTGTAATCACAAAGTTATCACGTCCGCAATATCGAAGTCACCATTCATGGATTACGCGTAAATACAACAGTATATTGTACTAAAGTTAGTCATAAATTCATTAATTGTATAAATAAATAAAGGCTTCTATCAAATCGATTCGTCCAAACAGTGTAAAAGTATAATAATTCGAAAGTGGCTATGATGATTAACGTAAAAGCCCAACCTATAATTCATTATTACTCGTATGGACCGTTTCTTATGTGTTTGTACCCGGTTTGGTGCTCGTAGTATAACTCGAAAAAGAAAAAACGACCGTCAACCATTGAACAAGTTCTTGGAAAGAAGTCACTGAGGCTTAGTGACTATTTGGGTTTGTTTTACAGGTAAGGTTGTGAATATTTATTTTGTTATACAATTTTTCGAGTGATACATGCGTTATTAAGATATACAAATAAACATGGTCATAAGTATATCTTAGTTACTATCCCATTATCTTCCTGTTATAGAATAACATGAGACACCGTTCCTAAACCATCCTTATCTACCAAACTACTGAAAAACTACGAAAACCTGGAGTTAGCATACTGTAAATACCTAAAATTGAATGTAATTAGAAGTAATCTATTTAATGATAATAAGAAGACAACAGTTTTGTTCTTAAAACACACCAAGCAACCAGAAACCAGAAAAATGTGATATCACTGGTGGCCTTGGGACTACACTAAGGTTATGTTTCCCTCAATGATACAGGCTATCGACAGTAACACAACAAAAACGAAGCCTTTTAAAGCTATAACATCAAAATATCGCTAAGGTTATGCACAAAAAAAGAAACTTACTCAAGTTCCTGCTCCATGTCTTTGTATCTTTGTTCTGCATCATGATACTCTGCCCGTGCCTTATCAGCAGCGTCAACCGCCGCTTTTACAGCTGGGTCACGTTCCTCCTGTTTACTGGTGTCATCCTCAGAGCCTTCCTTTTCAACTGGCGGAAATTCAGGAGGAACTTGCTCATGGTCTCCACTGTCATCGCTGTCGTCGTCGCCTTCCTCAGCAATCTGATCGAACTCTTCAAGGTCGTCTTCTTTATCAGCGGACGTGGGCGTCAAAATAGAATCATGTACCAGAGTAGAAGCTGACTTATCAGCATCTCGTGTTTGTTTATCGAGCAGCCAGACAGGCTTAATGAGGGGCCAAGCCGTAGAAGCAAACTCATCAACATCCACTTCTTCAAGGTAGGCGAGGAAGAACTACATATAAAAAGGGTAAGTGTAGATGGGACATAAATTCAGTATTCAGGAAAGCTAGAATTAGTGAAGTATATTCCGAATAAAGTACAATTTGAACTTGAAACGTGAATTACTTAAGGAAAAAACAAAAGGGGTACAATATAATGCGGTGTATCCCCTGCGTTTTTGTCATTTTTTAATCAGAACGCGATTGATATCGTATGATTTATTGATTGAGAGTATGATTAAATACCTTAGCTTCTTCTTCCGAAACTTCACCATTTTTGTCCTGGTCGAACTGACGGCGTGCCCTGATTTCATGGAAGGTCACGAGACCGTCTTCGTTCACATCCAGCTCTTGGAATGTTTCCTTGGCACGCTTCTTGTCCTCTTCAATGTAGCCTGCCACTTCGGCCTTGTCTGCAATGAGCAACAATGAATTAGCTCAACTAACCTTTCGTAGCTGGAACGCAGTTAAATTTGACAAATGCATTATGTAAGGCTGCCATCTTAATAGCCAATCAGCGATACTTAATACATAGTTACACTTTGCCACATGAAAATTTTAGGATTTTACTTTAGTTTCTATTGACAGCAAAATAACCTTTAAAAAATCAATCCCACAAACCTGCTTCATCTTTATTGCTTTGCTCCCGCTCCTTTTTTTGTTCAGCTTCCACATCGAGCATTTTACGCTCTAACTCCTCTGCATCTTTCCGGGCCTGGTCTTTGTCGTCGCGCTCTTTCTTAGCACCCTCCACGCGGCCCTTCAACTCACTTACTTTCTGCTTGGCCTCGACAACCTGTGGAGAGACAAATAATACACAAATCACATCAAAACCAAGTTCAATACAATACAAAAACGTCACACAGGAAAATACGACGAGTAAATCATGTCACTTAATGTTGCCACAGAAGACTTCGCCACCGCTCACCTTAAGCTTTCCTTGTTCAACCATGCTCCGTCGGAGCTGTCCTCCCTGGCTGAGAAGTTCTTCCCGTCGCTTGGCTGCTTCCCGAGCAACTCGACCCAACTCCTCACAGGTGTTCGGACAGGGCAGTACGGAAGCATATTCGTCACTTCCATCGCAGCAATCTGAAAAAATCATAACATAGATGTAGTATTGATTTGTGTGTATTTTCGTGTGTGTCTTACAAGTAAGCAGAAAAAAAAGTGACACGCTCTGTTTATTGGTTGCCTTACAAGTACTTCTCCTGCGTCTGATTGCGTACTACTACAAGATGCAGCGTCCTACCAATGATCTAAGTATTTCGAATATACATTCATTGTTTTAGATGGGTAACTCTCAGGGCGAAACAATGTGTATTTATACCAATACCACCACCTGTCCCTTCGTTTAACAGAAAGACACTTTACCACTAAACTATGACCGAGACATTTATCGATAACCTGAGAGCTATTCTGCTACAATGACATGTCCCAATGAATCGCATGTCAGGTGCGAGCGTTTCCGTCATGGCGAACGACAAATTCAATAGGTATACGTGCGACACTGAAATCACCTCATTCTTCAATACCCTTCTATCCATAAGCTTTCTGCATGGTTTATGTAAAACGTGTGAATGTGTGTATGAATATTGGGTTCCAAGCTAGCAAACTCTCGGTTGTGGTATCCGTGTTTTATCATGTTGCTGACTGAGGCAGTGCCACAGAGTTTACCAGTATTAATTTAAAGTATATCAATTTCGTACCACAAAGGCCATCATTGACTCTTGATGACGGTATGTCGAGTGGAGAATGCATTAAGTTCACACAGTGGAATTTCCCACGAGAACATGCTGCCGTTCCTGGCTCGTCTGAACCATCGGGACAGTCGCAATAATCATCATTAACGTATGAAAACGGTAGCTTCATCGATCCATCCAGACATTGAAAATCCTTCAACGGATCGTACAGAGCCTTCACTGAAAATAATTATATAGACGAAAATTGTAACCATTGTAAAAAAAACACCAACTATCAATATTTAATAAACCGATCAATTTACCTAATATTTTTTTCGTTGTAGGCGACATCTTCGTGTGAATTAGCTGTAACAAATCAACAAAATTGTTTACAGCAATTTTTTATACTGTGGGCTTTATTTAATCTTCACGATCATTCCGAACTCACGAGTATAACATCTAGACAGGGATGATTTTTCTTTTTGCTAAAACTACTTCATGACAACCTGAGTTTCCAAAACTGTAGCAACTAGATAATCAGCAGTAGAAATACTATTCATACTGTTTTATATTACCAATTTGTACTGACAAAACGAAACAAAAACTTACTTTCAAGAGAGATCCCTCGTACGCGCGTTATCTGAAGGTTGTCTTCAGAAGCTTGTACCCGCGTCGCAGAACAAGCCAAAGTTAGGCCAAATGCAGCTACGAATCGCGCCGCCATCATTTTTTCTCTACGATCTACCCAACAGTCATGCTACGATTTATCTGATTGCCGGCGTTCTGGAAACTCTTTGTCTGTCGAAACACGTCAGCGGGATGTCACGGTAGATGTGTTGTTTACATACAAATACAGCCGACGATTCGAAACCGGATGCGCGATCGGTCCTCGACATGACCAAAACGTTTAATCTTAAACGGCAATGTAAGCGAACAGCAAATTATGTGCATGACAGGGATGTATCATGTTCAAGTTTGAGCCGAACGCAGCATTTATTAATGATACTGTGCTATCAATACTTATGTTTGAGTGGTGCATGTGCACTATATTTATGCGGGAACACAGCAAGAATTTGAATTGTGTGCCTGTTACCGATTTTTCGTTCAGAAAAGGCTCAGAGGCTCTTCCGATGAATGGATGATTGTCTGTTGTCCTAAAGTCTTTGCGGCTGTTCCCGCCGCAGTTATCGTTCGAGCGTCAGCTACAGCAACGGCATTTGTATTATCGCAGCGTATCGTCAATCCGCCAGTCAGCAGAATTGCCAGTTTCAATAGTCAACAGGGAATCGACAGGTATTAATTAAGTGTCATGGTGTTTGTGGTTTACAAAACTAATTAAATAATCGACGGGTTTTATAGGGCTAACTGTAGGGTATTTACTACTGGATACGCTTGTCACATATTTTCGTCCCAGATTTTTTGCAACACTTCTTCACTTTGTACCTACCTAGCGTTCTGTTTCATCGCCTCCTGTCGTGAAGTAAACTTCTCGAATCTTTCTCGAAAGAAACACTGATAGTGCCTAAGACAGGAAAAACCACTGTGTTCATATATATGAATGTTTATGCAACCTCCATTATAAAATATATTCTGTTGGGAAATTATGTTACTGTTATCAAAGTAAAGTAGACGTTTACATACCGCACTTTTCCGAACATATATTGTGTATGGCCTGTATTGTGGTATCGCGAACCTTCGAAACGATATTTGCTTGGAAAGATCACTAGCGAAGCTTTATCTCTCTCAAAACATCCTGTGACGAGCAAGATGTGTTCTACTAGACTCAGTGATCAGATGTTGTGTCTGCTCAAGCGTGTGCAAATACCTACTCTCTTAGTCGAACAATTTATTTTCGAATATTCAGTTCTACAAATTTACATTGGTAGACAAAACCCCAGGAGCAGTGAATTGGCGACATGCTTTTTTGCTATAGTCTTCATTAGGCTGGTACTTTTATTATATTATGACACATTGCAGCGATGTCTCTCGCCGCGTTGGCAGGGTATGCGTCTGATAGCGATGATTCCAGTGAAAGCGATGCGGAGATCGCACAAACCGCTGGTGCTGGGCCGGCCGTTCCTCTTATGAAACACCCGGATAGAGCTTCTACAAGCGAGAAAAGAGCGTCAGAGAATGTGCGAAATTCTCAGATTTTCGGGGTTGACAGCATTGAAGACGAAGACGAATTTGTGCTAAGCGAATACGCGCCCGAGTTTCCCGAAGCCCTATTTGCCAATTTGCCGGTGCCTAAGCCAACGGAGGCGGTTGAGGAAGACGTTTCTGACATTATTTCTCTAAAGCCTACAAAGTCTAAAAAACGTCAAATCGTGTTGCCAAAACTGTCGGATTTTAAAGATGATGATGATTACAACGTAGAGGAAAAACCGAAGCCGAAACTATTAAGGACTGCTGCTGGGTCTGGCCTTATTGCTCTCTTGCCCAAGCCCGCTGCCTTCAAAATGCCGGTCGACAGTAAAACTTCTCTAGCGCGGCTAATGCCCCAATCGTTAGGAAAACGACCGGCCTCGTCTAAATCGGAAACGGCTGATCCGAAAAAAAAAGTTCACCAGACTAGTTCTAATGATGACAATGATGATGCTCATGGAGCTGGTTCTTCGAGCAACAGCTTCTTCAGCTTTGAGGAACCGAAATTATCTGATGACCAAATTAAGGACCTGCTTAAGAAAGAGGACTTGGTACCACGTAATAAACGTGGCGTTAGTCCAGAGATAATTGGTCCTTCGAAAATATCGGTTAGTGAGCAAGAACATGAACCTTATGAAACCATGCTGCAGCCGTCAGTTCCGGCAGCTTATCCAGAACCTGGGTTAGTGTCATTAGCGTCAAATGATCTTCCACCAGAGGCGCTTCTTCAATTGCGCGGCCGTCGTGAAGAAAAGATCGAAATGTTCACAATTGACGCTGCTGACTTCACGGTGGAAGCCAGGTCGAACCTTGTGAAGAATATCACGATTGAGGACAAAACCCCGCCGCCCACAGAGAACGAGCCGACACGGCGGCATAAGTCTAAACATCATATTACACATCTCGCTTTTATGGCAAAAGCACGTGAGAATGAACTTAAAAACCAATGGAGCGTCAATAAAATGACCAAGCGAGAAACGCAACAAAAGTATGGTTTCTAGGATCCACCAAGGAAGTTCATGGACGTAATGCCTGAAGGAAATAAGGGATGTAATAACTATTGTAAATTTGTACTGTATAAAAATAAAATATGTAGCATTGTGAATATTTACTTGTTTAAAAGACAGCGTTCTATATGTAGTTGAAAAATATACTCGGTGCAAAACATACATTTTTCTAGTATGTTAATTTAATTCAGATCATTTATACATAAAAGAGCGGCATGGAACTCTCAGGAAAGTGTTCTGCTGGTACTCTTTATACCCGATGAGAACGATGTAAGTCATGCGTCCTGATAAAGGCGGTTTAGGTGGACATTCCATTACTTATGACATAAACAATTAAGCTACACGATAGGAAAGACAGTGGACGATAGAATCTAGCTGTAGGCTATAATTTGGTGCCGATAATACTAGTTTATAGTATGAGTATGTCTGGTACGAGCAAACAGGCATGGGCACTTCTGATTAGCGAATGAAACAGAATTGCGACCTTTGGGCAATTCCAGAAAAGCATTCCAGCCAGTTCGGGTGTCCATAAAAAGGGATCGACTGCTTCGGACGCCAGATGTACTGGGCCTGGACAGATCTGAGGATAGTATCCTAAATCAAGAACGCACGCTCGTTACCGCGATGGCTAACAAACCAAAGGTTGTTTTCGTTCTTGGCCCACCCGGCTCCGGCAAGGGAACTCAATGTGAAAAAATTGTCAACGTATGTATTACAAACAAAATACTGCAATGGCATAATTCTTTATCGATTTTGCATATATCTTGCGACCACTCGAGTCTTCTAAATTATATTTACGATTGTAATTTTTTATTGCATCTCGCATTCTGAGAAAGTTATCTCAAGTGCTGGTTATACTGAAAATACTAGATTTCTTGTGGTATAAAGACGTCTTTGTTCAGCTGTTCTTTGAAGATACATTACGTGCATACTCCAATCGCCATTTTTCAGTCCTAGAATCTACCTTTTTGGTCTGGATAGTGAAATAAATTGTACCTCACATGGATGTGTTTACGGATCTGCTTATTGAAACAAAGTGACTTAAAGATATGCATTCTCAACGTAGTAGCAACATATTTAGTTTTTTCAGATTAATTAGAATTTTAGTAGACGCACTTGAAAAGCTTAGTTTTTTTTCAAAAATAAGCGACGTATAGGCAGCGTCTCTAGCGGACGTTTATCAGTAGAAGCATTATTTAGCCGTTGAGTAGCCAATACAAAGAAAGCAACATAGTCAGCTACGAGTAAGTCATTCCACGTAAAGGCCATAATAATAAAGCGCAAAATTGACACGTTTTGCAATACACTTTTTTTTAGCAGTCATTGTACAATAAGTATTTCGAATTTTGGCTTTCGACAGAAATTCAACTTTGTTCATCTGTCCGCTGGAGACTTGCTTCGCGCAGAGCGAAACACACCAGGTTCGCCATACGGTGAACTCATTGAAGGTCATATACGCAATGGAACTATCGTACCGGTCGAGATAACCTGCTCGCTTATTGAAAAGGCTATGAAGGAGTCAGGCAAAGATTGTTTCCTCATCGATGGCTTTCCTCGTAGTCAGAACAACCTTGAGGGTTGGGAAAAACAAATGAGCGATAAAGCTGATGTTCTCTTTGTGCTCCTCCTTACCTGCAGTGAAGAGGTATGCGTACAAACATTTTATTAGAATACTTATCTTGATAGATCTTTAAAGTTGATTTGAGGATAGAGTGCATAGTTGCTCTAAAACGCTTATAATGATTATACAGACTGGCAAGGTGGTTCCTGTTTATAATTTTTTGATAACAGAAGATATTTTAATCTGATGGAAAATAAGAATAAAATTTTATTAGCAGCCGGGAACTTCATAAAAAGTTCAAATATATAAGCCGACAACACAATATTCCAATATCAGAGAAAGAATATATGTACATTCAAAGCAGTTTGTGTCAAATGAGTTTTTTTTTTAATTTATAAAATTAATTAAAAAAAGTAATGTGCTAGATGTTCTAAAGGTAATACTAAGGTGCAACGAACCGCATGATATCTATTCGAAGTTCCTTCGAATGTAGAGCATTTATACGCATCATCATGCTCGTATAACCTAGCTAAAGTCTGTGGCAAAGCAAGTGGCGACATATCTACTTAACCACCTCGTTCGTCCCTTTCCACCTGCTGTTTCTTATCGCATCCGAGACCAAAAAATCCAATCAATCTACGCGAATGGCTCCCAGTTCTTAAGAATTGTCCTGAAAGCTTCCATTACTGGCAGTTCAAAGCGATGATGTAAGCGCTTGGACAGCAGTGGCGAGTCGGCTAGGACATACGCCAGGTGATTTTGGGTTACTATGTGTAGTCCCAATGCTTTTTTGAAGAAAGACGCTTTGACAAGGTTTAATTGTTCAAGGTTTCCCGCTGTAAGATTTTACCAAATGACACGTATCTCACTCCTTGCGATCGGAACTACTTTGCCATCGAACGAACTGAGAGCAGTTGCGAGGTGCAAGTGATAAGGCTATTTTATCGCCCATGCGGTCAATATTGACTTCTTGCATCATTTAGGTAACGTGCGCAATGAAACTTCTGCTGTTTGCAGAAGGGAACAACCCCAAGGATGGAAACCAGTTTACATAGAAAAGAGGCGACCTGGCAAAATACAAGCTGTCAGTGGCCGCCGTCCTGTGTCTTTTCTGAACCATCTCAGTGAAATTTACGGTCAGTTCCTAATCTGTTTGCCGCGTGGAGCCGGGCTAGATCTTGCTGCACTTGAAACCTGTTCGATCTTATATCTCATCAGGTCGTCCGCACACAAGATGAGTTGGGCTTTCCTATTTGATCCAGTAAGCCCTTCAGTAAGACGGAAAATAAGAGCTGCCTTGGGTTGTGCCTCTGAGGTAAGCCAGTTATTGGGTGAAAGGCAGTTCGGTCACTTCACCGTCTATAGTTACTCGGTTTTCCTATAGAATCACAACGAAAAGGCTCGTCACATTTAGAGGGACATTTACCTCTGCCGCCTGGGCATAATCTTATCTTTAGGACGGAGTTGACGGCTGCCTTGAAATCGACAAATACCGCGTATGGTGGATTGCACAGCCTGGCCAGTGCTCTGTTAACGTCAGGATCGCTCACGCAGTACCTATGGAGCGGTGGAAGGTCATAAAAACTATTCTATATATTTTGTGTCTAGAACTCCTGTATTAACTACAATTCATACAAGTTTTATTATTAACAATGACATTTCTGCTATGATTAGCAGAATTAAAGGTCAAAGAACTGACGAAAGTATTAGTGTCTAATTTTTTAATTAGGAATTCAACTTCAATCGGCATCTGGGCTTTTTTCAGTGAATTAAGTGACAAATGAAAAATGTGTTAACTAGCGGGGTTTCTAGAACCTACGAAGCTGTGATTTCAACTTGCAGTTCAAAATAACATGTTATTTATTTTGTCGGCAGGTTGCGACGGAGCGTTGTCTGGGCCGTGGACAAGCAGGAAGCGGAAGATCCGACGACAATATTGAATCACTTAGGAAGCGTTTCCACACCTATCAAAACGATACTATGCCTATCATCAAGCATTACGAAGCCAAAAACATTGTTCGCACGTTTGATTCGAATCGAAATGACAAAGAGGCAATTTTTGCCGATATCTCAAAAGTGTTTGAATCTATCTAGAGCGATTCTGTATAGACGTAGGGATACAATTTCAAAACCAGCGTGCCCATCCTTTGTGAATTGTAGCATTTTCTTCTGAAACAAAGTTATTGATAAAACTACTATCTGCCCAGGATAAAAATTTGGTTTTAGTGTTAGCTAGCGTGTTCATGAATGTCAAGAATTGCGTCAAGAAAATTTCAGGACCAATCCTTATATTTTGGGTGTGCATTGTTGAGCTAATAGTGGCATTTTGAGTTCTCTTTATTATCAATCGTTAAAGAATATGCATGGATATATTACCTATTTACCTGAAACTGAATAGTTAACTTTACAGATATTTAGTAGTGGAAACATTTAGTCGCGACCATCATACACCACTTAATTTAATTAAGGTTATTAATTTGGCCACCACTTTAGTACATTATTCAATCTAACTTAACTCGATTTCTCAATATTAGCTTGATTAGCAATTATATCACATGATGGCTGAATGCCAAAAGAATCACAAGAGCCTTTAGCACGTAGCCAGTAAACTATATTTGTATCAGTGGAGTAAAATGCGTGTTGACAACGAACCTTGGAGATCGTGTTCGACTACCAGTCTAAAAATAAAGATATATCCGGTTTAAATATTCCGATATGCTAGCTAATGTACTAACGAATGACGGGTTTCAATAAGAGCATCTTAAAATTAGTTGTTCAAAACATGAATATAATTTAATAAATAAACATGAGTTAGTTGAAAGAGTTAAAAAGAGTTAGAAGTACGAAAAGTATCTTATTTTGTGCTAGTTATCACTGATTGGTATATTTCATGGTAAACATTTTCATTAAATAAACTGGGTTACAATAGATCCTTGCATTACAATATTTCCCCCTTTGCACGCCTGGATTCTCTATGGTTCTTGGAGGAGTAGTTAATCAAGTTACCACCAGTCCTCCGGTTACTCTAAAAGTTCAACTACATTTGTACGTTTGAACTTCCCTTGTTTAAATCGAAATTTTCGAGTGCTCTTCAATACCTTAGCTGATTTGCTAGTTGCCAGGTGACATTTTGCTGTAGTTAGTAATTCCTGAATGCTTAACAATAAACTAATAAAGTACATATTCTGACTTAAATTACCTTACCTGATACGTCAGTGCACATCGAAGGCACTTTTCATCACATTTAGTTTTTCAAATGTGCACATGAAAAATTGAGAAGTTAAACTGATAGTTGTTGACAGATAACTCTGACAGATAATTCTCAATTTTTCTTACTTAGTTTTAATGTTAATACTTAATGTTAATGCATGCAGTAACTGTTTAAAATAGTAAGTGTTAATTTCTGATATCGAGGTTATACAACAGATTCCATGCTATCGCAGTTTTGTGATAGTGGCAATGTTGTGTACTACAATACATTACTTTTTTCTGAGAGAGAAGAAAGAGAAATATACATTTCTCTTTAGTTCAGGCAATCGTTACCATTATATATATATATATATATATATGATGGGGTATGCCAGGATGACTAATGGAACCAAAGACGTGAATCATCAGTTATTTTACAACAGACGTATGTATTGAAAGGTAAGCGGGTTTGTGATAATTTGTTTCTGGATGTGGATTTGTATTTGTTGCTATATGCAGGACGACTAAGAATCTTAAGAATGAGAGCATCTGCATTTAAACAGGAGTGGCGAAGACGAGCTGTATACGACAACGACATACGAGTTAACGTTCACTATATCATTTAATGGAAGTTATATGTGCCGGTAAGGACAGAATTATTATAATTGTGTTCAATGCTACTGATACTTTTTTCGATGTATATTACAGATGAATAACACGTAATTTACGTATATAAAACATCAACGTTGTTTATTCGACCATAACCAACATAAGATTTTCTCTTCATCTTCTTTGTTGCCACTCGCATCTCTATGCTTGTTACTATGTTTTCATTCTTATTTCTTTCAATTTCGTTTGCGTTATTTGATGTCCTTTTTATCGTCTATTCATTATCACTACCAGTAATATTTTGACGGAGTTCGTTTTTTATTGTTTTTAATAATATAGTAATCATGTTGTCCCTCCCACCATACGTGGGTCAATAAGAACTGCCAGTATCTATAAATGTTTTTAGTTTTCTTGTATATCGTGTACGAGTCTTTTCGATATTTTATGGCGTATATCGTGCTCTTCGCCGCGTTTTTCCGTTGATCAGTAGTCACACCACAGGTCTGCACTTTCTTACCTTATTACTGCCTCTAGTTTTGCGACTTTTACATTATCAGCTGGGATCTACGAGTGTTCGTTTCCTTAGTATGAGAAAGCTAGGAAGGTCATATACGGAGAAGAGAGACGGACGAAATGGGTGGTCGGAAGTGGAATTTCCTGCAAGATTTGTTGCATTGGTGGAAAGTACTATTAGCTTCTACAAGTAGACCTGCTAGCTATCGCCAACATGAATCGACGATAGCCTACGTTGCTCTCTATTAATCCATCGTTGAATGAATATAAATACGACCGAGTTCATTTTCATATTGAAAGAAAATAAAACTAGACAAATGCATGTATCTAATACGTCCTTTGTTATTCAGTGACGTCTCAAAAAACGCCAAGTAAAATCATACATGCGTGTAACATAGCAAGACAAGAGAATAGAACGTTCATGCAAAGCCAAAACGATACAAACGCTATTCGTTTACTTACTGTTATGATTATACTATTTGATGTTGCGATGCTAATATGTATTACTGAAATAAAGACTACACGCGAGCAGTTCTCAATCATTGACTGCATTCATTTTCGAACATCTCGTTGCGTTGCGTTGTACACTTCATATGCCGTCGCTGAACCGTAGCAAAATTGTGCCAGTAAATAAACACACTCAAGTCAAAAGGTGATGATAATACCCCTTCGTCTTGGTGTTGTTTTTCTCGACGGGAAAAACTGGTGATAAAGGCTTACAACAAAATGTCACGTACACAACAGCTGCGACAGCAGGATTGAAGGACGCCTCCAATCTCTGACAAGATCTTACAACCCTACAGCTTTAACTGAACTTGACTCAGTCAGGAAATAATCGTAATTGATCATAGTAATTGCAATAATTATAAGCTGATAATAATAATAATAATAGAACTTGTTATTGACACTGTCTAAATAGTCTTATTGTTCATATCAATATGCATGACCATCAGAAGTAAGCTTTATCTTCATCATCAGTAGCGATCAATGTGGATCTTCATTGTAGCCATGTAGTGTTATTAAATGCTTCACAGACGTTGACTAAGTCAACTTCTAGCATTCGATCAATCGTATCAACCAGTTAATCCGTTCAGATATATGGTTTTACGTGCGTGTGTGTGTGTATTTGGCTCTGTGTGTTTGTTATATATAT